AGAAAACATTCTTGATGGGTAAAGATCTAGAAAATGAAATCTGTGGATAGGCAAGACTTCTAAGATTTCATATTTAACTGTTAACCAGATTTCTCATTAGTATTAACAAACTCAGGAGATTAGAACAACTCACTTTTTCTCAAGAATCCTTAGAGCTGAATGATTATAATTTTTTTCTATAAGTACGTCTCTTCCTTGCATTGCTGTATACCAAGACCACAGGCTGTCTGCTCTCTCTTGTTACAAATTTTACTATTTGGTCAATCACTCTATTTTTAAAAGCCAGGTATTATTAATATAAATTAATATTTCATAAAGAGAATATGAATTATAAAATAATAGTTTTGTGTGAAAGATGGGAACTGGTACATGTCATCAATATTTTCTTCTTTTAATTGCAGCTCTGTAGAGTACCTACTTCCACGGTTAATGATTGGTCCCCTATGGTGCTGTAAATAGGCAGACCATGGAGAATTCAAATTTGAATGTCATTCACTTCGATATTTTGGTTATTTACTTCAGCTGTTTTACTTCAGTAGGACAGTTGCTGTCCACTCCCAGTATGACACAAAGGTGACTTTTAATACAAGATAACGTAGAGTTTATGTTCAGAGGACAAGAAAAAAAATGACAAAATTCTGTCATTTATTCATTAAATAGTTCTCAAGCCCATAACATAAACAGAAGGCACCGTGATTAGGGATAAAATGAACCATTACCAGTGGCCTTCAGAGTACTTATGAAACAATTTCATTTTCTACAATAAGAAATTTAAGTGAGGAGGGCTTGAGACAAGTATAAAAAAGCAAATTAAACCACTTTAAAAATTTACCCTAAATATCCAGCTCAGCACCATCATTCTCCAAGTTTACAGCTGTCATGGTCGGTTACACTCTAGATAACCGAATCTGTACAATGAGTGTACAGATCTGAGAAAGATAGTGTGCACACTGATTCACTTTCAGTACAGCATTTCCTCAAAACAGCTCTCCTCTCCGCTCCTCTTCCATGCCATCTTTTCAGCCCTCAATCTCACTAGCTGCCTTTATCACACCTACTGTGCTACATTATTCAACTCTCACCATCTCTGGGACATGGGCAGTATTTGTTCAAATTGGTGTCCTGGTTTGTAAGCAAATATTTTTTACTTTCTGGAGAATTTCAGTCACACTGATGGATGGTCTGGCAAACTGCCTTGTCATACAAGGACATAAAATTTTCTTAGGCAAATTTTGCCAACTCCTCCCATTTCCCAAGATTACCACTGAAGCCTCTGATAATCTAAACATGTTAATTATATGATCATATGGATTACAATTATTATCAATTACCCATGCACTTACTATACCAGCATAGGATTATGACAGATGCCTTTATGCCAGTTCCCTCAGCATTTCTGAATGCCTGCTGTGTTTAGACACAAGTGGCCCCCAAATGAGTAGATATGAACCCTGCTCTCCAAGAACTGTGAAATGGTAGTAAGAAAAGCAGGTGAGTGTCATAACAGAGAGAGACACACAAAACACAAATGGCTAGGGGAGCAACTAATTCCAGACTTGAGGAGAGTTAGGGAAGATTTCAGAGGGGGCACTATTTCTCAAAACAGTAAAAAGTGGTCACAATTCTATGTTTTGAGCCTCTAAGTCTATAGCACCCTTTTATCTTATGGTTTATAAAAACAATCACCAACAAATTACATGGGAAAATAAGGGTTTCACATACATTATAATATCAGGCAGAAAGTGGTCAGGCTACAGGAGAAGCACAGAGCTGGCTTTCTATTAGGAGGATCAGGTGGGCCATGGCTTGTGTGGCCATTTGACAAACAGACCACAACACAGGACACTGGAAAGTCACAGGCTAACTGACCAGTATCTCCTTAGTCTCTAAGAGCTAAATCGTATTTGCCTCAACAGTGAGGATATGAACAGAGCTCTGGGCTTATTTTCAAGAGATCTTGGTTCGAATACCAACAAGCCCCCTCATCAGTTGGAGGCTTAAGTGTCAAAGAGAAGGATTAACGATAATCATGTACATACACATGCACATACACACATACAATATCCCTTGAAGTTGTTCTGATGATGAAATAATGTAAATATACTAAAAGTGCTGGCACATGTTAGTTCTCAATGCTGGTAGCTGACTCTAGATCCTACATTCTGTACTCTAGACCAGTTTTAAGAAACTCAGTTTAGTCTCTTTACCTATTTAACTGCTGCCTCTGCCAACTTCTAACCATGGATGACTTGGCTTCAGGGTTTCTTTTCTGTAAACCTCCTGAAATGATACATATCACTGGATGCACAGTACTGTCTTACAAGGAGCCAAATTTAAGGGCTGACTGCCTCCCTGAGCTAGGAACTGCTTTGATCCTTTAATGGCAATGATACAGTTCTAGAACACCAAGTGAAAGAGAGAAGTCAACGTATTTTTTTCTTATCCCTTTATTTTCCACCTGCACTATTTCCACATCTCTGACTAAGAAGAAACTCTTCACAATGCTCAGCTATTCAGGACTCCTGAGTGGAGGGGTTCACTTTGTCTTAGGAATGGAACCAGAGGGGTTATCCCAGCCCATAACTAGGCTCCCAAAAGACCAACAATGACTTGAGCCTCAAGTGACAAAAAAGCACCAAATTACGTTACCAATTTAAGACAAATGGGGACAGCTCCCTCTCTGTTCTCCAGCAGAAATACTGAACAGGAGGAGGCAAATTTCTGTACAAAGACATCTTCATAAGAAGCATGCATAAGTACATACTGTGGTAGTCTGTAAAAATGGACACAAATTATTCCCTCATCCTACCCACACTCTTTGGTAGAGCCCATCCACACAGACTCCAGGCTGGCCTATTGACTTGCTCTGGCCCATCTCAAGACATAGGCAGACGTCTGACAAACCCTTGTGCATAGAAGCTTCCCCAGGTCCCTGCCACTACCACAAAATGAACAAGTCCAGCCTACTCTGCCATACAATGAACAACTCACAGCCAGGGTATGCCTGACATCCCAGCTGACTTTGAACCAAATGCCAACCAGATAAGGCCATCCTAGAACCACCCAGCCCGAGCTGAACCAGCCTACAATAGAGAAAGCACCCAGTGGACCACAGAACAGTAAGAAATAACATTTGCATTATTTTTTTTTGAGTCAGTATTTTTTCAGGTGGTTATCAAAAACTAATTGATAAAAGTACACATTCTGTTTTATGGTTGCCAAATATAAATGCTTTATATGAATGTGTGTGTGTGTACAAATATATATATGTATGCATGTATATTTTGTCTTCTAGCAATGGGCACACAGACCTTACTAGTAACTTGTTAAATAGTCACAATTTATTTGATCTTCTTCCAAAGGAAAGGACAATTTCATTACTTTGTGATCTCAGAGTGTTTCCCAATGTTCTTCTCTTACTAGGAATATTTGTAACTTTTTCAGAGCAAAAGGCCTGGATTTCATTAGATTGTCAAAGAAGTTTATGAGTGCAGCAGGTTAAGATTCATGCTTAAAGCAGAAATTTTAGCATGAAGGAAGAGTGTTTGTTAGAAAATGAGATGAGTCTGATTCCTGGAGAACAAGCCCTAGTTACTATCTTGACATGAAAAGTAGAGCTATGTGATTAAAATTAAAGAACCCATTTCCCAGAATTTTATGAATAACTTCAATATTACTATATTGACTTACTTTATAATCATCATTATCACTATCATTATCAAAAATACTGATTCAGCACACACATGTGCATTATAAATGTTCACTTAACAGTGCTTGCCTGCAAGATCGTCCAGGTTCTGTTCATTTTCAAATATTTTGTTGCACTGTAGCAGAAATTCCAGTATTTGATTCTAAATGAAAACTTCCAAGCTGCTTCTCAAGCCCAAAACAAAAATCTGTTTTTTCAGATTATGTGTCCCAATTTTTTGAAAATTATGTTACAAAAGATTACGATCTTAAAAGATAAACAAATTTAAAAACCAAAAATAAAAAATAGATATGAATAAAGATTTCTCCAAGGAAGATATACAAATGGCCAATAAGCACATGGAAAGATGCTCAACATCATTAGCCATCAGGAAAATACAAATCAAAACCATGAGACACCTCTTCACACCCACTAGGATGGCTATAATCAAACAATGGAAAACAAAAGATGTTGGCAAGGATATGAAGGAATGGGAACCCTTTTGCATTGCTAGTGGTAATGTAAAACACTCTGGAAAATAGTTTGGCAGTTCATCAAAAGGTTGAACATAGAGTTACTGTATAACCCAGCAGTTCCACTCCTATGTACATGACCAAGAGAAATGAAAATATATGTCCAAACAGAAACTCATACTTGGAGAGAGAGAGAGAGAGAGAG